TCAATTAAACAAGCACAAATAAGAATTATGTTAACATCAATTAAACAAATCAACTTTTACAAATCACCTTTTATAAATCAATTAAACAATCAAAAAATAAGCAATAATTATTAGAGAAAATAACACTTCTACTATTGAATCAACTTTTGCAGCCATACATCATTTTCACGCAGCTCACTTCTGAGATTAACCTGCATAAACCAAACATTTGCTCAAACAACACTTTCTACACATCTAAAACCTACAAACAACAAATTATTGAATTCTAGGTACTTAACCAAACATTTTCAAACCACAAGCCTATAAACATACCAATTGTTTATGGACATTTTTATAACGCGGATGCAGGTAGGCAGCGTCTCGTATATATCGATCTATCCATATAATGTCGAAACCACAAGCCTACTGCAGCTCTATCTATATCTGTGGGAGGTAGATACTTTATACTTCCTGTGATCAAACGGTCCAACGCCAAGCATACGAGAGGACCACAATCCCCTCTGGGTCCTTTCGTTTGTTGTGGTGTGGTCTCGTCTCTGCTAACTGTAATATTGAGCTTCTTTGGCTTCTTGTTTCCAGAACGAGTCCAATAATTTATCGCATCCAAGAATTTAGCCAAATAAGAGTTCCATCCCTTAATAATATCTCTTAAATCAGCCAATGATATGTAATTTATCATGTTGTCATATACTATTGCCTTAAGGGATGGGATCTGAAGCTCGACGAGAAGCCAATGGTTACGTTCCAAAACAGGGATAAACACCTGCAATCATAAGTAATAATTCATTCATTTGCGCACTTATTTATGAATACCTTTAAACTCAATCTAAAATAAACACTAACCTTATCGACCTCCCACCATGCAGGATAAAGTTTAGCTTGTCCATTGCCCAACGCAAATGATTCATCTCGTTGATTCTTCAAGTGAACAGCGTTAAAAGACGTCGGCATAATTGTATATCGTGTATTTCTTTTATTTTCCTTAAGTTTCCTAATTATTAGAAGACGTGACACCCACGCATCGATATGCTGTTTTACAAAAAAAGACATATATTAGTAACTTACATAAATTTACAAAAAAATAATCAAATTAAAATATAAGAAAAATATAAGACTTACCCCTCCATCGAAATAGCCATTGTCTTCGACCCCTAATAATACGCCTCACCAAGACCGATCAAGCAACAAATAGATATCATCATTGAGCTTGCATATGTCAGTGAAACACCCCTGGCTTCGCTCATGTAGATAAAAATCAATTGCGGTCTTAGCCCAAAGGGTGTTATCCAGAATTGTGTCCGGTAGTTGCTCCCTCTCCACTTCAGATACCGGTATGGTACTGGCCGGTAACTCATACGAGAGCCAACTTGAATCCATCATGTCCGGCACGTCAGAGGGTTTATCAAGAATCCTACATATAACGCCATGTGAATCGGGCTCTTGAATGGTGGGAGGGACCTCTTCAACGATGACAGTGGCCTCTTCAATGATAGGAGTAGACTCTTGAGGGATGACAGTGGCCTCTTGAATGGTGGGAGGGGACTCTCGAGGAATGATAGGGGCCTCTTCAACGATAGGAGTGGACTCTTGAGGGATGACAGGCGAGTCGAGCTTCTTCTTGCGGTGTCTTCGCACTATTGGGGTATACGGAGACTTAATAGCACGTGCACGCCGTCTGATGCGTGAACTCTGTCGTGCAAGAAAAACCCGACGTAAAGCATCCACCTTATCGGTCCGCTAAATAATTAAATACAAATATCAGTAAATAAACGGACATGATATTTAAACAGTGAAAACAAAGACAAATATATTTCAAAACTTCAACCAAAAGACAAAACAAAGACAAATACTAACTTCACAGTGTTAAAGAATACACAGTTTAGCAGAATTGGCAGCAACCAAATAAATTTACTTCAACCAAAAGACAAAACAAAAAGACAAATACTAACTTCACAGTGTTAATAAACAGTTTAGCAGTATTGGCAGCAACCGAATAAATTTACTAAGCAATCTAAGTGAAATGTTTAATTTAAGTGAAATTACGAGTAAATTTATCATCAAGTTAAATATGGAAAATCTTAAACTTACCTCGTTGCGTAGAGTATGAACCTCATTCTGTAACGATACTACCATCTCACTTAGAGCGGCAACCTCACCACGTAAAGTAGACACCTCCACACGCCATGCACCATCGTTATCGCGTAGAGTACCGATCTCCTCACGCAAGGCATTGACCTCCACACGCCATGCACCATCGTTATCGCGTAGAGTACCGATCTCCCCACGCAAGGCATTGACCTCATCACGTAACTCCCTTGACTCATCCCGTGGAGGTGGAGAACAGGGAGATAGAAGTCGTGGCATCTTTGACGGTCGCCTATCATGAGGTGATGGTGGAGAAGAGGCTCGATGATGTGACGGGATAGGTGATGGCTCTCGTTGTAGAGGTGTATAGTCGGGTCGATCAAGTGATGGCTCTGGGTGAGGTTATGGCTCTCGAAGTGGAGGAAGTGGAGGCTGCTCATCATTCGTGCCATCAAGAAAACGCTGACTAGCTTGCCACCAATCAGTGGCAAGCTCAGCCTCCGTGGGTGTCAGTCTCATTAATGGAATGTTGGCCTCCTAAAAATATAAAAACTCAAACAAAGTTAAACGTCTACTATTAATAACTTGTTTATATATGATAGTATTTGTGTTAACTTACATTATTTATTGTCGCATATGGTATTAAGTCTTCCCAATCCAACAGACGTTTCCTCTTCCAGTAAATAGCCCTGGGAATATCATTTGAAGTTTTTATTGCATATGTCTTCATGGCGGGAAAGGCCTCGAATATCCAAATCTACAAACAATATAATAACAAACATTAGTAATTGTTAAATAATTAATTATAATTTTGAAAACATTATATAGAAATTCTTACCTTAAAGGCCCAAACAAAGCCTGACAAAGTGTATTTCGACCCATCGCCCCGCAAACTTTTGCGGTCATCAAAGGCAGACGACAACTTAGTCCAGGTAGCTTTCCATATATACGAACCCCACGGAAACAGATTCCATGCATTTAGGTCCTCTACCAATAATATTAGCTCCTGAGGAATAGGTTGTCTGGCCTCTCTGCCTAAAAAGCCGGCATACAAAAGTAGTAGAAGGCATACTCGGACAACATCGACGTCATTCATCCGAGTAAAACCATCTTTCTTATTAAACAATTTCTTCATGTCGTCGACGTGTAAGTTCGGCTTCTCTATTGACTCATCAGGAAAAACCCTGGATAACCATGATGGGCGGGTGATATGACGAGTGTACCGGCCTACATCATCGTGTCCGAATCGTAGACCAGTGATTAAGCAGAACTCCTTCCGCCCAAAACAAGTATACGCTGGTGGAAAATGAAACCATATCTCTTCCTCACCACGTTGTATACTGTCGGGTAGATCTCTAGTCATGGTCTGAAGCCACAAATGGGTCAAATTAGCATCTCCACCCGGATGTTGTACTCTCAGCCATGGCCCGAAGCAGGTTTCCTCAAACAATTTTCTTTGTGCAGGTGAAAGCTTCGAAGCAATTGTAGTGGCTAGGCTAACTTTATTCCTTAATGTCAATGAAGCCGAAAAAAATTTCTACAAAAACAATAAACATACCAAGTTAGATATACCAAAAACTACACTGTCAAGATATACCAAAAACAATAAACATAAATAGTAGTTTATTCTTGAAACTAAAATTTGCAACACTGTTTTGTCTTTTGGTTGAAATGAAAATCGCAACGAGATAAAGAGAATCGCAACGCAAAATGACTATCGCAACGAGAGAATCGCAACGCGAAATGAAAATCACAACGCGAAATAAAAATCGCAACGCGAAATGAAAATCGCAACGAGAGAATCGCAACGCGAAATGAAAATCGCAATGCGATTTTGGTTTCGCGTTGCGTTTTTTATTTCGCGTTGCGATTCTCTCGTTGCGATAATTATTTCCGCGTTGCGATTTTCATTCTCGAAACTATTCTTCTTCTGCATTACTTCAACCAAAAGACAAAACAAAGACAAATACTAACTTCACAGGCTAAACAGTTTAGCAGTATTGGCAGCAATCGAATGAATTTAATAAGAAATCTAAGTGAAATGGCTAATCTATTATTAAAATTACCAATAAACTTATCATCAATCTCAATATGAAAAACCTAAAATAATGCAAAAATTTCAAAATAAAAATAAAAAAAACTAACCCTCGGAGGTTGATTTTCCATTTCTGAATGATTGTGAGGGATTTTTGACTGTGAATGGTTGTGAGGGATTTCGCCGGCGATGGGGACGGAAATCTTCGGAGATGAGGACGGATTTCGCCGTAGAGAGTGAGAGATGGAGATGGGACTGAGTGTTATGATTTTGGGTTTGAGGTTATGAGTTGCGATTACTGTAGACGGTTCAGTTTCCGATTTATTAAGAAAAAATTCGTGTTTGGAATTTGAAAAAAAAATACGCGTTAATACGAATGGCGCTATGTAAATCGCGTTGCGAAAGTCAGAATCGCGTTGCGAAAGTCAGTATCTCGTTGCGATTTTGTATTATCGCATTGCGATAGTCAGTATCGCATTGCGATTTTCCCAATTCGCGTTGCGATTTACTTATTCGCATTGCGAATTGGGAAAATCGCAACGACACTGTAGACCATCGCAACGCGATTTCCAACTATCGCAACGCGAAATGCAACGCGAATTTGCGATAATGGAGATCGCGTTGCGAATTAGCGATCGCATTGCGATTTTGTTGGTCATTTTGGCAAATCCGGAAAAAGTTGGTTAAAATCGTATATTATAAGGCATTTTTGGTCACATGGACGATTTTCTCTAAAAAATTATATATATTATTAAAAATGCTCACCACGAATTTCAAAACATTATAATAAATACTATAAATCCAAAAATAAATTTAAAAATATTATATTTTATTAATTATCTTGCATATATTATCCGCATATTTTGGCAAAGAATTCCACTTATAATAGATCCATAGATCTAAAAGTTTTCCGAACTTTCTTCCGAAGACCAGAGCAAAACCAGAAGAAAAGAAATGGACGCAATTGATTCAGTTTTCGATCCGCTAAGAGAATTCGCTAAGGATAGTGTTCGTCTTGTCAAGAAATGCCACAAGCCCGATCAAAAAGGTTACTCATTTCTCCTCTCTGTTTTTCCCTATTATTGGGTTTTATTGATCGATAAGAATTCTGATTGAAAGATTCGTTCCCCCCCCCCCCCAGAATTCACGAAGGTGGCGTTTCGTACAGCGATCGGATTCGTGGTCATGGGATTCGTAGGGTTTTTCGTCAAGCTCATCTTCATCCCCATCAACAACATTATTGTTGGATCTGGTTAGGTGCGGCTGGATTCTTTCCATTTCAATTTTATTTTTCATGTACTTTGTTGGTTTATTGTATTATTACTTGTTATTGATGTGATATTGATCTTAACATATTCAAAAAAATTAGAGCTCTTAAAACCCCCAATATCTGAATTTTACTGAAAATCTGGTTGTTGATTACTCTAGGAAAATGGAATTTGCCTGTAAATTGTAGGCATTTAACTAGTGGGGAGATCTTGAAAACTGAGTTAGTTTTCTGAATCTGATGTGTCATTTTATTTATGAATCCTTGTTTGGCATCTCAGTGGTATTATCATGTAGAAACAAGAATGAAACGATTTTGATGCTTAAGCTCGTCTTTATATTTTGATTTTGTCTTCCTTGAGGGATATTGTACTCAACTGATCAATGCAATTGCTTTTTTTTTAACACATGTTGCTGCAAAATGGTTGTTAAACCAATTTTTCTTCCACTAGTAAGCAATAGCGTGGTTGAAACTTGCATTTTAGATAATATAATGAAAAAAGGCCGAGACTGTCTTCTAGATGGGCAGTTATTATGTTACACTAATTAGGGTATGAATGTTGGGTATGTGTATATGTTTGACATGGATATGTTGAATTTTCCCCCCCAAAGTTCTTTTGTTGTTTAAAAAATTCCTTGGAGAGTCATTTGCCCATACTCTTATCTGAAATGTGTCGGACATGGATTGATTTCTCAGTTTTTTTTTGTTCTTGCTGTTAACTAAGGATTAAATGATGATAACCGAATAATGGTAGCTAAACAAACTGATACACTGACATTTATTTCTCTACTTTTAATGCAACTAAGCGCCCATCTACAACCATCTTCGTTTATGAATTATTGCGTTAAATTTCGCCATGTTTCTTCTGTACTCATGTTTTGATCTTTTTACCGACTTGCAGGAAGCACGAGAATTGGTATGATTTCTCAGCATCAGGGCAAAAGATAGATTTACATAATCTGAGTTCATAAAGTAATTCAAACTCAGACATGGGGTTCTCTAGTTATCTTTATATTCAATTTTGTTGCAGATGATTTTTGTTTTAGTATTGTAATACTCCTGTTGAAAAAAAAACCACAATCTGTTGCCACTTTTGGTCAATTTTTTATCATTGTCCTCTGGACTGTATTTCCTGGTACTCTCAAATCATATCTTTCCAAAGAGTCAATCATATAACTTTTTTACTTAAAAAAAGTTTAGATATCTAATTAGATAAAATAAATTTAGGTAACAAATTGTAATTTAAATATCTAATTAGATAAAAATAAATTTAGGTACCAAATTATACAATGTACTTAAGTTTAACCACCAAACTATAACCCTAATTTCAATTGTTCATTAAATTTTTGAAAATTCTAACTTTATTTTAAATTAGATTTTAAACTTTTAAACATTTTAGTTTCATTCCCAAACTTTAATATATTAATTACATCTTTTGTTAATAAAACTGCTAATAATAATTATCAAGTAAAAACTTATATGTATTGTTAACAATTAATGTTAAAATGTCTTTTATAATTGGCAAAAATTTTCCAATAATGTATTTATTTTCTGAGTGGGTACATAATTATTTTATTTAAATCTAATATTAATTATTATATAATACAAATTAATACTTACATTATAATTGATAATTTTATTCTCAAACATAAATAAAATGGACTGTTAACTACAAAGAGGGACATTTAAAAAAAATAAGATACAAAGGCAGGCAAAGCAAGTTATAACATAACCAAACCCTAAAAATCCTCGTCCATCTTGAACTCGTGGGTGCCGCCATTACCGCTCAAACTGGACATGACGGACGCTTTCTGGTACTCGCCAACTCTTTTCTCGAAGAAATTGGTTTTCCCTTGCAACGAAATCAGTTCCATCCAATCGAAAGGATTTACAACATTGTATGTTTTCCCGTACCCTAACGCTCCCAACAACCGATCCGCTACAAACTCGATGTACTGACTCATCAAATCGCCGTTCATCCCTACTAACGCACAGGGCAGAGCGTCGCACACAAATTCTCGCTCTATATCAACAGCCTCTCTTACTATCCCCTTCACCCGCTCTTCGCTCAGCTTTGACCGGAGGAGATCATACAGCAAGCAAGCAAAATCGCAGTGCAGGCCCTCATCTCGCGAGATTAACTCGTTGGAGAAAGTTAATCCAGGCATTAACCCGCGCTTTTTCAACCAAAATATGGCGCAGAAACTTCCAGAGAAAAAGATACCCTCAATGCAAGCAAAAGCGATCAACCGCTCGGCGAAAGTTTCTCCACCGTTGATCCATTTCATAGCCCACTGGGCTTTTTTAGCCACGCACGGCACCGTTTCAATGGCGCGGAAGAGGCGTCTCTTTTCCTCGGAATCTTTGATGTAAGTCTCGAGCAGCAGACTGTACATCTCGGAGTGGATATTTTCGATGGCGATCTGGAAACCATAGAAAGCACGCGCCTCGGAGATTTGGACCTCTTTCATGAACCGAACGGCAAGGTTTTCAAGGACGATTCCATCGGAGGCCGCAAAAAAGGCGAGAACGTGTGTGATGAAGTGGCGCTCGTCAGCGGAGAGAGTTTCCCAGTGACGGAGATCAGAAGATAAATCGACTTCCTCGGCAGTCCAAAACGATGCTTCGGCTTTCTTGTACATTTCCCATACTTGATGGTATTGGATCGGGAACATACAGAACCGGTCTGGGTTCTCGGCCAGTAGTGGCTCTTCTGGAATTGAAGGCATTTTGGATGGGCGATTTGGGAAAATGATAAGAGGAATTAGAGGATTTCTTAAGAAGTGATTTTGTGATTAATTTGGTGGAGGGGTAGAGGGCATTTATAGGCCAAAAATGAGCGCGGGATTTTGAAAATAAAGAAATTGGGAGAAACTTGCCGAGGAAGAATAAACCGCGGAGGAGGATAATTTTGGAATTTTGACGTAATGAGTCTACGTGTGGCATTGTGATTGGATAATGAAAAATAATTTCGATGGAGGGGATAACGGTCGAGCGTACAATGGAAGCTTTTGATGCGAAAATATTTATATTTTGGAAGTTGGCGGGGAGTATTAATGGCGCCGTTCAACTATTTGATAATCTTTTTGGAGTTTTGAAAGTTTGAATTTAAACGTAGTTTGCAAAGTGGGAATGTCTCAGGAAAGGCGGGTTAATATACGGCTAATATACAGCATTACCGGATACATTAAAATGTATTTAATAAATTCGGTTTAGCGGTACCTATTATGTTGACAACTAATAATGTTTTAGGTAGAAAATATGAAAAACTATTAAAAAAATTTGGTAACCGGTAAACTTTGGTTATCGGTAAGTATCTATCCTTTTTATAAAAGTGTCCATACTTTTAACATATCAAGTAAATTTTACCGGTTTTGTCATAATGAATCTGGTTTTGTCATATTTTTACCTGTTATATTGTAAATTATCTATCCTTTTTATAAAAGTGTCCATACTTATTTCACTGTGAAAATATATTTATTATTATCTTTAGTTAATATTGTTAAATTTAAAATCTAAATAATATTTTATAAAATATCAAAACAATCAAATAATTTTTTGTGTAAATGAAATTATTAAATTAATATTGTAGGTGGAAAACATGAAACACTATTAAAAAAATTGAAACATAAATTACATAACTTTCAAAAAAGTATATATCATTTTTATAAAAGTGTCCATACTTATTTCACTGTTGAAAACATATTTATTATTATATTTGGTTAATATTGTTAAATTTAAATTCTAAATAATATTTTATAAAATATCAAAACAATCAAATAAAATTTTGTGTAAATTAAATTATTAAATTAATATTGTAGGTGGAAAACATAAAACACTATTAAATAAATTGAAACATAAATTACATAACTTTAAAAGCAGTTTTAAATCCTAAAAAGTGTCGATACTTTTAAGAAATATATCGATCCAAAACGATATACCAGGTAAAATATAATAAAACCGGTAACAAAATGATAAAACCGGTAAAATTAAAAGTGTCGATACGTTATATAAGGATCGACACTTTGTGAATTTAAAAGAGAAGCAGTTATAGCGCCTATAATGTGTCGATACTTTAAAAAAAATATCGATCCACAACGATATAACAGGTAAAAATATGATAAAACCGGTATCAAAATGATAAAAACGGTAAAATGATACCGGATATATTGAAAGTGTCGATACTTTCGTAAGTACGTGTAATAAATTATCGACACTTTCAAAGAAATAGGTAATTATCCTTTCGAAAGTATCGACACCTGACATAAAAGTATCGACACTTTTGTATTTGTATCGATTAAATATAAATAACATATCCGATGAAAATATAAGCTAAATATCCTCTGAAAATAGATAGAACGGACGAGTTTTTGAAATCGAAGAGTAATTGTTGCTGCATTTCAGAAGGCGTTTCTAAAGCGAAGTTTGTTTGTTTGTTGCTGCAGTCGAATCGAAAAGTATGTTGTCGAAACCCTAATTTTTTATTATTACAGTAATCGCGATAGGGTTTTTTATGTGTTGTTTGGGGTTTTGGAGTAAGGAAGCATTTGGGACCGATTGCAGGTAGAAATAGATATTCAAGGAAAACGATAAATGTCGATACTTTTATTAAATATTATAGGTAGAAAATGATATTATAGGTTGTATAAATGTGCCGACACATTTTGGTGTGGCCATTCAAATTCTTTTGAAGAAAACCGTTTTACCACAAGAGTAGTTATCTATATTTGTATATTGAAAAGTGTATGTAACAAAATAATTTGATTTGCGTAAACTGATATATGAAGGAAAAATGGAGTCAATGGGTTGGAAAATTGTTGGTGGAGCAGATGACTTTGAAATTGAGGCCGAGACTCGAAAGCAACCAAAGGGTGGATATATGTACTTCTAGTAAGTATCAATGTCTTTTTGTTATTATTGTTGAAATGGTAATTGGATTAAAGTATCGATAAACTTTAAATTGATTACAAATTTTAAATGTTAACAGTATGGCCGAATGCAAAAGGATGAAGGGAGATGGCACACAGAGCGGTTCGGTATGTAAAATGAAATTGACATTGAGTAGTATTAGTATTTAGTGTTAATGTATTGATTAAGAAACGTTTATGTTTAATATTAGGTGAAAAAAGATGTGAGGTCCAAATGGAATTCAATGAGTGATGCTGAAAAGGAACCTTACATCACACAGTCAAGGAATGATAGTAAAGAATACAAAGAACGGAGGAAAGCACATGAAAATAAGGTATTCATTAAACTTGTAAATACGTTGATACAAAATATATAAGAACTATAACATTATATATTGTTAAAAAATGTAGGAAGTTTCGACAAGATGCAGCATTAAAAGGGTGAATTTATTAATTAAACACCTTAAGGAGAAGGGTCAGTTGAATGTGCTGGGAGAAATAGGTTTTGGATCGTTGATCGGAGTAAGGGATCGACCTATTCGGAGGGAATTGTGTCGATCCTTGATGGCACAATTTGACGTCAGTCAATGTATGGCTAAGTATGGTGATTATTCATTCCCTCTGGGGGTATCGACTGCTGCAGCCGTATTGGGGGTACAAAACAAAGGCAAAAGTGTTATAGAAGTCTGTAGGAGTAAGAACTGGAAAGCACTTGCCTCCAAATATGGTTTGAATCATAAGGTGACATATACTGAAGTTGAAGAGGATATCAAAAGTGGATCTTACTTGGGGGATGAGCTGAAGGCCCGAGTTCTATTGTACCTTGTCGGTATATTTCTTTGTCCAACGGGTGATACGTCAACGAACAAGGAATATATGAAGCTCATTTGCGATGAAGGCTTGAAGGGTGAATTCAATTGGGCTGAATATATCCATTCGAGATTGATTGAATCAATTATCACCTTTAAAAAGGGCAGCCAGAGATACCTCAAAGGGTGCATAGCAATCTTAGAGGTAAATGAGTTGAATCACTTTTTTGTGTTTTTATATAAAAATTCTAATTTTATTATAAATGCAGGTTGCACTGTTCGATTTTTGGTCGGGCTGTGAGGCAGTGCCGGCTTATGAAAGAACCGGAGTGGCACGCATCCGTGCATGGGGGAAGGAAGAGGTGGTTAGAGTGATGGTGAAGTT